GGGTACGGTGGCTCACACTAGTAATCCCAGCACTTTGGGAGGCCAAAGCCAGGGGCACCAGCCTGTATTCCCAACTACTCGGGGGACTGAAGTGGGAGGACTGGTTGAATCCATGAGGTCGGGGCTGCAGTGAACCGTGATGGCACCACAGTACTCCAGTCTGGGCGACAGAGCGAGACCTTGTCTCAAAAATAAAATTTAAAAGGTTTGATGAGAAACGGGTCATTCATATAATTTCAAAGTACCACCGTACAAAATACTTTTATTATAACTGCCAAGTGAGCGTGACTTTACAGCGGAGAGCAGGCAGCATCTTAAAGATAAAAGTGAGCATCATCAGTGATGAGACAAATTGACAAGCTGAAATTGTGTGCCACTTGATGTGCTGCGTTGAGAAGACCGCAGCAGCCCTTCTGTGACAGTCCTGTCTAGGATGCAGAACCTGAATCCAGTCGAGATCAGACAGACAAAGCCCAGTTGAGGGGGGTTCTGAAAATCCGCTGGCACGCGCCGCGCAGCCCAAGCTTCCCCGTAGTCCGCGGCGCCTGCTCCAGATACGCCCGACGCGGTCCCCACCGCCTTCCCGCCGCCGCCGCCAGGAGGCTCCGCGCGCCTTCCAGCCTTTCCCCGAGACAGGCAGCGCGGCGCGGCCATTGTTCCGCAGCCCCTCCCTGGGGGCGCGCCGGAGGGACAGGCCCGGCGGGCGGGGAGAGGCGGCCGGGCGCGGAGAGGGGCGGCCGGGAGCTGGTGCCTGTCAACGCCCACCGCCGCCGCCCGCGCCTCCTACTTGGCCGCTCCCAGGCCCTCGAAGCCGCCGCTGCTGCCGCTGCGCCCCAGGCTGCAAATGGCGCCAGGTCGCCTTGGCGCCTGCCGCCGCGGTACAGGCGGGGGGGACGTCTGGGGGCCGCGCGGCCTGGGCCCGCATCCCAATGCCGCCGCCGCCCGCTGCCAGGCTGGTTGCAGGTCCTGGCAGCCCCGACGCCCTCCCGCCCTCCGCCCGCAGCCACAACCATTCCCCCTACACCCCTCCTGCCAAGGGGACCTACGGGAGTCCCAGAAACAATAATTAGATTATTTTAAAATTGTAAAATACATAATATCATTTGAAAATACAACTTAGTGGCATTAAATATTTTCATGGAGGTGTGCAACCACCATGTTTCAAAACTTTCTCATCACCTCAAAGGCACCGGCACCCATGAGCAGTCACTCCCCACTCCTTCTTTCCCTCAGCCCCCAGCAACCGCCACTGGGCTTTTTGTCTTCACGGACTTGCCTATTCAAAATATTTTCCTTTTTCTTTTGTTTTTGAGATGGAGTCTCGCATTGTCACCTGGGGTTGGAATGCAATGGTACGATCTTGGCTCCCTGCAATCTCCGCCTCCCGGGTTGAAGGGATTCTCCTGCCTCTCAGCCTCCGGAGTAGCTGGGATTACTGGCGCCCACCACCACGCCTGACTAATTTTTTGTATTTTTTAGTAGAGATGGGGTTTCGCTATACTCGCCAGGCACGTCTGGAACTCTTAATCTTGTGATCCGCCCACAGCCTCCCAAAGTGCTGGGATTACAGGCTGAGCCACCGCGCCCGGCCAGGATATTTCATATAAATGGAATCAAACAATATGTGGTCCTTTGTGACTGGTTTCTCTTACCGGAAGCAGTGTTTTCAAGGTTCCTCCATGTTGTAGCAGGCATCAGAACCTCCTTTATTTTTTTATTTTTTATATTTTTATCAGAACTTCCTTTTAATGGATGAATGAATAATATTCCACCTGTGTGTGTACGTGCCTGTGTGTGACGTTTTTGTTTATCCATTCATTAGTTGATGGACATTTGGGTACTTCCACCTTTAGGCTATTGTGAACAGACCTGCTATGAACTTTTGTGTCCAAGTTTCTGTTTAAGCTCCTGTTTTCAAATAACTAAACACACTTTACTCCCGTTCCAATGAAAAACCGTGTAGCCACCTGCAGCTTTTCCCCACTTAATTCTAGGAGCTCCTGGACGTATATCATGTGTGTTCCTATCAACTTTCCTGCCAGCCATGATTTTTATTTAGGAGACTTGTAGGTCAACAACTTTCCTGCCCCTCTCCAGGGCCCCTTTCTCAGGGGACCTGTCCTCATGACCACCACCCAACCCCCGTCAGATTCCCCTGCTTCCTGACCCAAGGGGTGCCATGTGATCTGAGGGAACCCATCTTTTGCTGGGCAGAAACTGAGGTGTTTTCCTTTGGAAGATTTAGACGGAAGGAAAGGACAGTGGTTAGGTCAGGGCTGGGCAGCCCTTTTGAGCTGAGGAATGGGCGGGAGAAAGGTGGTCTTATGAGAGTGGCTGGGGACCCCAAACTGGTACAAAGAGAAGTGGACAGGAAACATGGGCACACGACTGACCAGGAGCAGCCTCACCCCTGCTTTCTGATTCCAGGTGATCTGCTGATTTCCTCTCCCAGAATGTCATAAAGTCACTCATTTTAATGAGAAACAAATCCTCTTAAAACTATTCCTGGTCGAGCGAGGTGGCTTACGCCTGAAATCCCAGCACTTTGGGAGGCCAAGGTGGATGGATCGCTTGAGACCAGGAGTTCAAAACCAGCTGGCCAACTTGGCAAAACCCTGTCTCTACTAAAAATACAAAAATCAGCCTGGCATGGTGGCAGGCATCTGCAGCTACTTGGGAGGCTGAGGTAGGAGAATCACTTGAACCCAGGAGGCAGAGGTTGCAGTAAGCCAAGATTGCACCACTGCACTCCAGCCTGGGCGACAGAGGGAGACCCTGTCTCAAAAAATAAAAAATAAAAACTATTCTCAAAACTTTTTTTTTTTTAATTTTTTGAGACAGGGTCTCATTCTGTTGTCCAAGCTAGAGTGCAGTGGCACAAACATGTCTCACTGCAGTCTCAACTTCTTGGACTCAAATGAGCCTCCCACCTCAGCCTCCAGAGTAGGTGCAACTATGGGCCTGTGCCACCACACCCAGCTAATTTTTGTATTTTTTGTTGAGGTGGGCTTTCATCATGTTGCCCAGGCTGGTCTTGAACTGCTGAACTCACGCAATTGCCCTGCCTCGATCTCCCAAAGTGCCGAGATTCAGGCGTGAGCCACTGTGCCCGACATATTCTCAAACTTTTTTTTTGAGACAAGAGTCTCACTCTGTCACTCTTGCTGGAGTGCAGTGTTGTGGTCTCGTCTCACTGCAACCTCCACCTCCTGGGTTCCAGTGAGTCTCCTGCCTCAGCCTCCTGAGTAGCTGGGACTGCAGGCATGTGCCACCACAGCCGGCTAATTTTTGTATTTTTAGTAGAGATAGCGTTTCCCTACGTCGGCCAGGCTGTTCTCAAACTCCTGACCCCATGATCTGCCTACCTCAGCCTCCCAAAGGAGGCTGGTATTATAGGCATGAACCACCATACCTGGCTATTCTCAAACTTTAGTTTGCATCAGAATCTCCCTGGATGATGCTGATGCTGCTGGTTCCAAGACCGCACTTTATGAATCATTGCTTTAAGCTTGCTTGAGTGTCTGTTCCTTGAGCCAAATGTGCCCTGACCAAGACAGGTTCTCTCGATTCCCTCTGTGAGGTTTGCTGTGAATTGCAGGTGTCAGGAAAACTGAAATCCTAGCTGCCTCTAGTGTTCACCCTTAGAGCCCATCCAGCAGGGACTCAACCTCTCTTGCCACTGCCTGGGCCACACCTGTACTGAAAACACCCTGAGAACATGCAGTGTTGAGGAAGTACAGGGCAATGCCCCTGCCCTCCCTCCTGGCATCAGGTGTTTAAAGCAGTGTGGCAGTATTAAAAAAAAAAAAAGATAGCAGTGCAGTTTGAACTCCCAGCATCTCACCAAGATTGTAGGTCATGCTCTGTTTCTGCATGTAGCTCTCCAATGGAAGGCTCAGGCATACTTCCCTGGAGCTGAGCCAAGTGACCATCTTTCTCCTGGCCAGATCCTTCCAGTGACTTCCCTAAAAAAAACTTCTTGTTTTTTTTTGAGATGGAGTTTCGCTCTTGTTACCCAGGCTGGAGTGCAATGGCGCAATCTCGGCTCATCGTAACCTCCGCCTCCTGGGTTCAGGCAATTCTCCTGCCTCAGCCTCCTATGTAGCTGGGATTACAGGCACGTGCCACCATGGCCCAGCTAATTTTTTGTATTTTTAGTAGAGACGGGGTTTCACCATGTTGACCAGGATGGTCTCGATCTCTTGACCTCGTGATCCACCCGCCTCGGCCTCCCAAAGTGCTGGGATTACAGGCTTGAGCCACCGCGCCTGGCTAAAAAAAACTTCATACAGATCAGTGGTACCCACTCCACTGACCTTCATACATACCAGACATGTTTAAATCCTTGTGATGCTCACAGATTGGTCCAAAGTAGGGGCTTACTCTACCTCCATCCTCCCTACATAAGCAATAACAGATCTCCTCTCCAGCCCAACATCATAGGTGGGCAATCTCTCTGTGAAGGGCCAGATGGTAAATATGGTAGGCTTTGTGGATAAAAGGAGCCTGTAGCAACCACTCGTCACTGATGGCATAAACAATGACAAAAAGGAATGGATGTGCTTGTCTTCCAGTGTAACTTTGTTTACAAAAAAAAAAACAGCAGGCAGCAAGCAGTGATTTAGCCTAACCCCTGTTCTACCTAGTAGCTTTTTTTCTATTACTAAATGAAGTTAATGAGTCTTTAAACAGATGGAAAGCATATTTAGTGTTAGCAGTTCTATATTATTATGGGAATTTAAAAAAAAATTCTAGGCTATACATGTTTTTCTTAAGAGCAGGCAGTGAGCCCAGCTAATCTTAAATAAACCCAGCCTCTACATTTAAAAAAATGTAAAATTATATCAATACATTGCTGAAACTAAACCAACTTTCTGTCTTCCAAAGAGAAATATTTGAAACTGTTGTTTAAGCAGAAATAATTTTTAAAACAAAAATATGCACGTCTTAAAGATTTATATAAAAAGTGGAATGCCAAAACCACTGAAATGAGAAATCAGATTTAGATGATATCCAGTAATTTATTCTCTCATTGTTTTCATTCTTTATATATAAAAAAGTAAAAACAGCAAACCACCACAACCTGGGCAACACTGACCTATATAAACAGACCTGGTACATTACCACTTTAACATAAAAACCAATTCAATTCCAAAAAGCAGAAACTTTCTCGCTTCTTAAACAAGGTATCAGTTGCTATTTTTTTTAATGTTCAAGATGATTTCCAACGCTGGCTTCTCTTTTTAATAAATATGTTTCGACAAGTGCCTTTGTAATGAACTAATCCATTTGCAAACTTGACAGGCAAAGATAAAGTCAGTTTCTATTTTTCTTCCAAGAGTTGTTGGACAGTGTGTAACTGCAGAGTTCAGAGCCTAGCATGGCCATGCTTCCTGTGATGTTTGTGTTGTCTGCCTTACTTTTTTCATACATTACACCATGAATTACCCATTCATCAAAGAGTGGTCAGTCTTCTTACACAGAATCTAAAATGTCCTGCCTTGGGATAGTCTGCCAGAAACTGTCTCATATAAATAAATGGCTGGTCCTAAAACCATGGCACAAAGAAGCGGGAAAAATGATTTGATGGAAGTTTCTTCTGTTTAGAGCTCTATTTAATAGTTCTCTTTATTTTGTGGGATTAATTTTTTCCTTAACTAAAATCTTGTCCATAAAATTCTTCATTAGAAGTTTATGTAAAATATTGCCCTGAGAAAAACAGTTAACTAAACTTAAATTATGAAGGGTTGTTGACTCATTAATATGAGAAGATCCTCAATTACCTATTGCATTCATTCAATTAAAAAAAAATTTTTTTTTTTTTGAGAAAAGGTCTCATTCTGTTGCCCAGGCTGGAGCATGATGACGTGATCATAGCTCACTGCAGCTTTGAACTTCTGGGCTCAAGCAATCCTCCTACCTTAGCCTCTCAGGTAGCTGGGACTACAGGTGTGCACCACTACACCCTGCTAACACATTCATTCTAAAGGAACTGTTTTAACTATTTTGACCTTAGCCATTTTAAATTTGCAGGTACCAAATTCAGGTCAGCTTCAAATTTGTGAAGGTACAGAAAATAATTCAATTGTATTTGTTTCTGAGGACAAAATGAGCAACAGAGGAACAAAGGACTTTTTCTTGAACCTAGCTGAGGCCACTCCTATTCTAAACTTGTAACTAGGGTGTCTCAATCTGACTTTATATAAATCAAAACAAAAATTTACCTTGAGATTATTACCTGTTTACTCCCAGGTTGATTTAACCAAATTAAAGATAATCTGCATTTTTGATGGCCCTAAGTTAATTTTAATCCCAAACTTGATAAATATTTCATTAACAACTGGGAATACTACATCTAGGTATTTTTAGATTGTTAAGTGGCTCATCTGTTTTACTAACAATTCTTATATATAACTGCAGACCTTTAAATAAAACGAGCTTTTGCAGTAGACTGATTAAAGTCCACTGAGTCAAGAAATACCTAAGAATACATTTTTACTCAATACCATACTATCATGTGGGCTGCTGACTTAAATATGTGGTTTTCTGTTTCAAATAAGATTGCTCTTGTTACATTCCCTGAATCACACCCAATTTATATTTCAAAAATCAGTTAGAGGCTGGATGCGGTTGCTCACACCTGTAATCCTAGCACTTTGGAAGGCTGAGGTGGGCGTATCACCTGAGGTTAGGAGTTCAAGACCATCCTGACCAAAATGGTGAAACCTCATCTCTACTAATTTTCTCTAAGAATACAAAATTATCCGGGCATGATGGCATGTGTCTGTAATCCCAACTACTCGGGAGGCTGAGGCATGAGAATTGTTTAAACCCAGGAGGTAGCGGTTACAGTAAGCCAAGATTGTGCCACTGCACTCCAGCCTGGGTGCCAGAGTGGAACTCTGTCTTAAAAAAGAAAGAAAGATCTGCATTGATAACGCAGTGCTCTATAACGACAACAAAAAAGAAAGAAAAATCAGAGAGGTTAGAAAAAGTAATTTCAAGTTAATAATGTATATTTTTTTACTTTTGAAACTTTTTACAAGTAAAATGATTAAATTGCAATAAAATACAGTACATAAGGAAGTGGACAATGAGTATTTTAATTTGCCGTGTGTGTGTGTGTGTGTGTGTGTGTGTGTGTGTGTGTGTCTGTGTGTGTTCCATCACGGTTTATGTTGTTTCAGATATGTGCGGGCATTACAAGACAAAGAAATTAACTCCCCCATGCTGGACATGTGATTTCCCCCTCCCTGTCTAAGCATTACAGGAATGCAGACCATAATCACACAATGCATACTTTATCATATGAGGCCAAAACAGCATTTTCCTCTCCTTTGGCTCTGGTATGATGGATACCCATGGAAACAAATGTTATCTATGAATGGTCTTTTCTGCCTGCCCAAACATGTCTGTCTATTATTAGCACTGGCCTGTCAGGACCTGGTCTCTTATCCTAACCAGCTGTGTGAGAACTAAAAACGTCATTCATCTGTCACATGGAGTTGGATTAGACTATCTTTCATGTCCCTTCTAACTCTCAAATCTCTTGACTTAATAGTCCTGTCATATATGTATCCTGATTTCTTTTTTTTTTTTTTTTTCCTGAGATGGAGTTTTGCTCTTGTTGCCTAGGCTGGAGTGCAATGGCACAATCTCAGCTCATTGCAACCTCTGCCTCCCAGGTTCAAGCAGTTCTGCCTCAGTCTCCCAAGTAGCTGGGATTACAAGCGTGTGCCACCACGCCCAGCTAATTTTGTATATTTTTAGTAGTGATGGAGTTTCACCATGTTGGTCAGGCTGGTCGCAAACTCCTGACCTTAAGTGATCCACGCACCTCAGCCTCCCAAAGTGCTGGGATTACAGGTGACCCACCATGCCTGGCGTGTATCCTGATTTCTGAGCTATTAACTAGTTCACATGGCCAGACAAGACCCACTCCAGATGCAGTGGGGCTCCTCCCCATCTGTCACAGTACACTGGATCAACATAATGGGAAGTTATTTGTTGTTTTCACTTTTAATTAAAAAATAATAATTTATATACTATATTATTTTTAAAAATAAGAAAACTATGTTATTATTTTATTATTTATGTATTTATTTTCTTTTTTGAGATGGAGTCTCACTTTGTTGCCCAAACTGGAGTGCAGTGGTGTGATCTCAGCTCATTGCAACCTCCACCTTCCAGGTTCAAGTGATTCTCTGGCCTAAGCCTCCTGAGTAGCTGGGATTACAGGTTCACGCCACTATGCCTGGCTAATTTTCGTATTTTTAGTAGAGATGGGGTTTCACCATGTTGGTCAGGCTGGTCTCGAATTCCTGACCTCATGATCCACCTGCCTCTGCCTCCCAAAGTGCTGGGATTACAGGCGTGAGCCACCATGCCTGGCCAGAAAACCATATTATTTTTTCAATAAGAAAACCACCTGGCTGGGTGCAGTGGCTCCTGCCTGTAATCCCAGCACTTTGAGAGGCCAAGGTGGGTGGATCATCAGGTCAGGAGTTCGAGACCAGCCTGACCAACATGGTAAAACCCCGTCTTTACTAAAATACAAAAAATAAGCCAGGCGTGGTGGTGCATACCTGTAGTCCCAGCTACTAAGGAGGCTGAGGCAGGGGAACTGCTTGAACCCAGGAGGCAGAGGTTGCAGTGAGCCGAGATAGCACCACTGCACTCCAGCCTGGCAACAGAGCAAGACTCTGTCTTTAAATAAAAAGAAAACCTGATGCATATTTTCTAAAGACTAGGATATTCCGATGTTCTATTCATAGCATAGTATTTTTGCATACCTGAATAAAACACGTAATTTAAACATTGTTAGTGACCGAAGCCACCATATTTGGGAAAAGGCAAGAAATTTCAGCAACTGTTTAAACTGCTTATAAATATAGTATGCCAAAGCTGGAAGTTTACTCAATAGGAAGAGTAGCTTAGACAGAAAGCTTCTTCGAGGTTCTATGACTGGCTAGGTACCCTACCCACGAATTCTCAGAGAACCCTGTGCTTGTCCTTACTGTCACATCCAACGTGTTGTGTTATAACTGCTTAACTGCTAGTCTCTGTAATTATATACTGCAGGCTCCTTGAGGGCAGGGACTGTGCTGGTTCACTGAAGTACCCTTTGTGCCTGATATACAGTAAGGACTCCATAAATAATTGTTTGATAACTATTGAATGAATCACCAGCCATCTTCTCTCATTGATCTGCTGGGAGCAACAGAAGCAGGCAGGAATAGCACCACATGACAGGAATAAGAGGCATGGTTACCAAGAGCCTTGTGTTTGGTGTTTGCCAGGTGGACAAAGGCTCCCATCAAAGTATGACTGATGGAATACTCAGGCATGTCCATTTGATAGTGTCCCTACAGTATGACATACTATACTTGCCTATTATGAGTGACACCAAAGAATACATGATATTCTGGCTGGGATCATTTTGACTGTTAAGCCAACTCCTATATACCCCTTACCAAAATTTGCAAACTGTGTATTAATCACAAGCAACTAAGCACCAAGAACACTATTCAAGAGAGGAAAAATGGATTAGGGTGGGTTATATTTTACTAGGAAATTCCTCTGGCTATATTCTATAGGAATTAGGTGCAATATCCATTGTGCAATTACTTAGCATAGTGTTTGGTAAAGGATTACCAAAGCCTCTTTCCCTTCTGCATGAGCATTTGACCTTTTGTTCACTTTCTAGCTCTGTTCCCCTGGCAACCTAATAAAAATTCATATGTCAACTGCTAGGCAACATTGCATATGGTAGAAATGACCCCCAATTGGCAAACTGCCTCTGGACTGGGAGAACTATACATGCCTGATAGGAAGCCACAACCCTGGGCTTCCCTAAGTACAGTGTGACTCTTGGAACAGACATGTCTTTTATAGGGACCCTGGAGGCCATGTCTATGAAGCTGTTCTAAGAGATACGTGTTCCCATGGGACAAGGGGCTCTTAAGCGAGGGCAGCTTCCAAACTTGCCCCATGTGGATCTGTCTCCTTGCACCTGAACTATGCCACACAGACAGCTGCAGAGACTTCCAGAGAAGAGCAACTGGTTCTGGCTCGCTAGTAAGCAGTGTTTCCCATCTTATATCCTAAGTGAATCTGATGCCAAGTGTGGTAGTTTATAAATGTGAATGTTTCTAAACCTTCAGTTGAGCCTAAGACCCCTGGAGGCCAGTGCAGGGGTCTGGCCTCTATTGCATGTTTTTCTGATGGCAATAAATGCTCTTCAGGGGCTATGGATGGTAAAAGATGAGAAGCTGTTTGGTATGTTTTTCTGCTTCCAAAAGAATCCTGACCATACTCTTCACTGTCTGCATGACAGATAATCCATATCCATTACATGTCACCAAGACCTGTATATGAAACAACTGATGCTTTCCCTCAAAATCCCCAAGCTTGTTACTACTAAACCTTCCTCATCAAAGCACATAATCCCTGCCCTAACCTCCACTGATTAACTGACAAAGGTCCAGAAATCAAATGATGGATATAAAAATTGCCCCCCAAAACCACAATTGTCAATGAAGAATTGGCAGAAGCAAAATAATCTACCTGGAGGGTCAAGACGATGCTAAATGTTCCCCTTCAGTTATGAAGTTTCCATCTCATCTGATCATGCAATCATGTGAGTTACTGTCACCTTTTAAAACTAGGACATGTCTAGGAACCAACCAAACTACTACTAACCCCAAAACACTTTTCATTTTTCTCTACAGAAGCATCATTTAAGAAAAGAATTCAAATTTCCAGCACTGCACGGAAAGGTTTGTGGAACACAGTACTGTTGAGAGGAAAAAGAGAACTACAAAAGCACAAAAATCTGAAAACAGTGCCTGTGATATGCACCTGAATAAAGTGCCCCCTTATCAGGTTAGAAGATAGTGTGATCACATCAAAACACAAGACAAGCTACCAGAGACCAGCAACAATGGGAAGCACAGTGGGAATGCTCAAAACAGAGCACATCGGAGCTTCTCACCCACCCCAATCCTCCCAATCCTTTGCCCCTCCCTACCCCGTTACACTAGACTTCACAGAGATCATTCCCTTAATGCACAAGGGACACACACGAGAAAAACCTAGAGTTCCAAGTAAAACAGTCTGAGTTCAGTTGACCAAAGGCCACTCCACTCTTCCCTACAGCTCGCAGAACCAGTGCATGCAGCCCTACCTGTTGCCTTTCTCTCCCTGGGGTTTGTCACGACATCCATTAACAGTAACAAAAAACCCATCTCAGTATTCCAAACCACCAGAATACTTAATTCCATTACATTTTGCAGACCACTAGGTCAGCAGCTTCCTTAAGGAACATTCAAAGTCTGGTGGCCACCAAAATATTTACATCACAATGGCATCTTTCTGCCAAATGATCAGAATCATGATGCACTATGTCATTTCTTAATTATTATAGGTAAGGCCCTATTTACATGCCTTCTCAACTTTTGAGAAGGGGGTCCTCATCCCCCAAGAGAAATAACTTCTCAAGAATGTCATTTTGGAATTCCATTACAAGTAAGAGTACTGTTCCCATCTATGTAATATATCTAATATGAGACAAAAATATCCCTTTGTGAACTTGGGCGGAATGTGCCAGAATAGAAACTAAACCACTAACGGTCTGTGTTGGGCTCAACTGTAAATTTACTTAGTATAAAAATATCACCAACCCCACAAATTAAACCTCAAAGACACTGTGATTATAAATACTGACCACCTAATGGGAACATAAATTTAAAAGAGGACCAATTTATGATCTGATAGTCTAGACAAAGGAAGTATCTCCTTTAAAAGTGACAGAATTCAGTGATCCAGTTTTTACCAGTGCCTATACACAAACCCTGAACAGTCTACCAGGAATGCAAGAATCTGAGATATTATGGAAGAAAGAGAATCATTTAAATAACAAGCGTCACATTCTGTTTTCCTCCTAGTGATTCTACCTCTTTAAAAATTAACAAAATGATCAGAACCTAGTAATGGTTCTGGATGTATAAATGAGTCAGAATTTTCTAAGTTTACACATTATAAACCTAAATCAGATCTTGGGCAAGCTGTGAACCATCTGGCCTCAGCTTCTCATTTTGCTAATCCACTGTTTTCTAAAACTTGTGAGAGCATAAAGGCCTATTAAATATGAAGGTCAGCCAGGCATGGTGGCTCACGCCTATAATCTCAGCACTTTGGGAGGCTGAGGCAGGCAGATCACTTGAGGTCAGGAGTTCAAGACCAGCCTGGCCAACATGGTGAACCCCGTCTCTACTAAAAATACAAAAATTAGCCGGGTGTGGTGGCGCATGCCTATAATCCCAGCTACTCGGGAGGCTGAAGCAGAAGAATCACTTGAATCTGGGAGGTGGAGGTTGCAGCAAGCCGAGATCACACCATTGGACTCCAGCCTAGGTGACAAGAGCGAAACTCCATCTCAAAATAAATACATACATAAAATTAAAAATAAATAAATAAATATTATGAAGGTAAAAGGTAGCTTAATATAGAACACAAAATTGAGTCCATTCATGACAGATCCCTTTAAAAAAATCCTACTTTATCTCACAGCAGAGTTTCTCAACCTTGTTACTACTGATATTTTGAATTAGACAATTCTTTCTTGTGAGGACTGTCCTGTGCATTTTAGGATGTTTGGCAGCTTCTCCGGCCTCTACACACTAGATGCCAGTAGCAACCTGAAAGGCACAAAAATCACCCCCAACTGAGAATCACTGTCCTACAGTGAAATCTCTACTGTAAAATGTTTTACCCAGTGATATGAATAGGTCACGGAATCACTGAAGACCATAGCTCCACTGGAGAAAGCAGGCAGAAAAGTTGAATTATGAGGTAGAAAAGTCATCAAAACATCAGAGATAATTTAAACAGAGAAAGCAAAAATATCAAACACTGTTCCTGGCCAAGTAGATCTTCTACACATCCATTTAGGTTTCCTTTTTGCTGAGGTCCCACTTTTAAAATAACAGTTAATGTTTTTATTTCAGATAAGTATCTCTGGTCTCTGATAATTTTCTTGATCTAGAATGATATTTTTCTTTCTTATTTATTTATTTTTTGAGACAGGGTTTCACTCTGTTGCCCAGGCTGGAGTGCAGGGCACGATCTCAGTTCACTGCAACCTCTGCCTCCTGGGCTTAAGTGATGCTCGTAGCTGGGATTACAGGCACGTGCCACCATTCCTGGCTAGCTTTTGTAGGGGTTTCGCCATGTTAGCCAGGTTGGTCTCAAACTCCTGACCTCAAGTGTTCCACCTGCCTCGGTCTCCCAAAGTGCTAGGATTACAGGTGTGAGCCACTGCCCTCAGTCAAGAACGATATTTATCAAACTACCTGTGTTAAAAGAAGTTTTAAAATTTCCAATCTACTGCAAACCAATATGTGGCCCTATTATACAGGCGGGTATCCAACTTCTGCACCATGTGGGTCTCTAGCTAAGCAGACCTGAGCTGGTCTATACCCCACTCAAGAAGACAAAACCATGAGTCACAGCAATGTCAAAGTGTTATCAATGTTTCTACGTGCATAGTCTTAATTTCTGACATTCCTTGTAGCAGACTGGTTGAAAACAATTCACAGAACAGTGCCTATCTGTGGGCCACAGTTTGAATTACACTGTTGCAGTTTTAACTACTATTGAAAAGTACCTCTTAAACACTTTTCTATGCTTTGGCTAACATTTACAAGCCAACTGATAATGTCTTTGACTTTTGTTGTTCAAGAGACAGAAAGAAAAGTGACTTTACCACCTTTTGAAACACAACTATACTTAAAGGAAGAAAAGATTTCTTTTAAAATCTGTTTTGGATATTTTAACACAAGACAAAACTATGGGAAGTGCCTTCAATTACATTCCTAATTCCTAATACTGCCTGCCCTTTAGCCCTTTAGAGTTTCAGCCTCTTTTGTTACAATGATTGTGTGGCTGCGAAGTGGGTGAAAAGTAGACTGTTTTTAAAAGTTGACTACTAACCTTCCCTTTCCCTCAGGAGGATCTTTTGAAAGATGAACGTTTTAGAAATGTAACTTGGTGATATGGGCTTATACTTTCCCTCCAATTAAAATTCTAGGCAATGAGGTAGAAGGCAGGACTCAACTCCAAAGACCGGACTCAGACATGGACCAAATTGAGGACTAGCTAAAACAGGGCAGTGGTGGTGGGGGGTGCAGGAAGCAGCTTTCCATAAGAAATGCTCATCACTGTGCCATGTTAATTACCATTGCCATGGCAACACCTGGAAGTCACTGCCCCTTATCTTGGCAACCACCCAGCGACTTGGAAGTTACCACCACTTTCCTAAATATTGCTGCATAATCTGCTCCTTAATTTGTATTTAACTAAAAGTGGGTATAAATATGAGTAACGACTGGCCTCTGAGCTGCCACTCTGGGCACACTGCCTGTGGGGTAGCCCTGCTCCGCAAGGAGCGGCCCCTCTGCTGCTGCTGTGCACTACTGCTTCAATACAAGTTGCTGTCTAACACCACTGGCTCACCCTTGAATTCTTTCCTGGGTGAAGCCAAGAGCTCCCCTGGGCTAAGCCCCAATTTTTGGGCTCACCTGCCCTGCATCAGCATAAACTAAGTAAAAGAATGTCAAGGGCGGCTACATTTCCAAGTTACACAGCTCTAACTTTTAGAAAATGCTGGAAAACGTAGGGGAGCATTTTGAGTTTTGCCCAAATGACTTGTTTTATGATAACAGAACAGGTGGTATGTATAGAATCGTCAAATACCAAACCAGACAGGGAAACCATCCAGACCTGGGCTCACAGCCTCCCTTTTCAGGGCTAAATTAAAATGTAATTCAACTGGGCAAGTCAGGATGCCATAATGAGTCTTTCAGATCATCCCCATGTTTGTCTACCCATAAATACTGCAAGCCTTTAAAACTGCCGTCCTAGATTTAGAGAGTACCTTTTATGATCATGTAGCCAGACCTCCCTGCCTGCTTTATATCAATGAAGGCTTCTCTTTAATACTTTGCCAGAAAATTTAATGTGGAATTCATTAGGAAAGGCCTGGCAAAGGCAAAGCTGATCCCACAACTTAAGGGTTTTCAGAGAAAGAGGATAACAAAGGAATGCAGAGGACTGAGTCAATAGAAAAACAAACGTGGATATTTTCTTATCTTTCTCCTAACCAGAGTTTGGACGCACAGCAAGAAAAACAGGAGACCTCAGAAACTGCCTTGATTCACTCAGAACTAAGGAGTGGCCAGCAAAGCCCTCAGAAACCAAGGGCACCACACAAAAAAGTTATCTGTCCTTTGAGTCACAAAATCCAACCTATATTAGATAGTCTAATAAAAATGCACATATCATTAACAGTGAAAAAATGTTCCTCTCAGGGTTCCACAAAATTGGACAAATGGTGTCTTTCAGCAACAGAGTGTGCACTAACAAGTTCTAAAACTTCTCTCCCACCAGTTTATTGCTACGTAAGTGTCTCTCGATCTGATAAGTTGGGACGAATTTGTGGTTTGTCATCAGAATCATCTCCAGTGGGGTCATTTTCCTCACCCGACTCCACATAGATTGGCCAGTCATTGTCTGTATCACTCTTTTCTTGGCTTTCGGATGAAGCTTCCACCAAGCTAAGATTGATGGGCATCAAATCATCGTCATCGTCGGGTGTGTCTGTAACGCAGGTGCAGCTGTCACACAGCCCAAAGCGCCGCAGCCCCTGGGACAGATGACTCGTGAATGTTCTTCTGCAGCCCTTGCAGATGATTGGACGGTTGGATCTGTGGACCTGTAATCACAAGCGGACACAATAAATGTCACAAAAAAGGAGATGAGCCTTTTCCACAAGCTCTTTGTAATCTGGCCCCTGCCTGACCCTCCAGACTCCTTTCTCCTCACTCCACCTGCATTCTCTGCCACAGTCTTTGTGTTAGTCTGTTCTTGCACTGCTACAAAGAAATACCTGAGATTGGGTAATTTATGAAGAAAAGAGGTTTAAATGGCTGACAGTTCCACAGGCTGTATAGGAAGCATGATGCTGGCATCTGCTCAGCTTTTAGGGAGTCCTCAGGAAACTTACAATCATGGCAGAAGGCAAAGGGGGAGCGGGTACTTCACATGGCCAGAGCAGTGGGGAGAGAGAAGGGGGAGGCACCACATTTTTTCAAACAACCAGCTTGTACGAGAACTCACTATCATGATGACAGCACCAAGGAGGGATGGCATTAAACCATAAGAAACTGTCCCCATGATCCAATCACCTCCCACAAGGCCCCACTTCCAGCATTGGGGATTACATTTCAACATGAGGTTTGGGTGGGGACAGAGATCCAACCATATGAGTCTTCATCTTACCAAGGTTCTTTCCACCCCAGAGCCATTGGACACATGTGGAACATTCCCTTCTCCCCATCAACCCCTCACCCCAATGAACACTTTGGAAGGAGGTCTTTTCTAATGCTCTAGGCCAGTTAGGGCCCCCAGCTAGTGATTCTCACCCATACTTCTTCCTTTGCTGTACTTCTCACAAATTGTTGATAAAATTCACTAAAGTGTAAGCTCCAAGAGGGCAGGGACAGAGTCTGTCTCATTCCTTACTGTATCCCTAGTGCTTGGCACACAAAGGGCACTCAAGTGAAAGTGAACTGATTAGGATTTTTTTTTCTTTTTCAGAGACAGGGTCTTGCTCTGTCACCCAGGCTAGAGTGCAGTGACATGATCATAGCTCACTAATGGGCTCAAGTGATCCTTCTGTCCCAGCCTCTCAAGAAGCTGGGACCACAGGCACCCATGCACCACCATGCCTGGCTAATTTTTTATTTCTTGTAGAGGTGGAGTATCACTATGTTGCCCAGGCTGGTCTCGAACTCCTGGTCTAAAGTGATCCTTCCACCTTGGCCTTCTAAGGTGTTGAGATATCAAGCGTGAGCCAGCATACCTGCATACCGGGCCAGGATTTTTTTTTTTTCCTTTTTAGAGATGGGGTCTTGCTGTCTTGCTATGTTGCCCAGGCTGGACTTGAACTTTTGGGCTCAAGTGATCATCCTGCCTCAGTCTCCCAAGTAGCTGGGAATATAGGTGTGCACCACTGTCTTTGGCTTTCATTAGGATTTTTGACATTTTTTCCCCCCTCTCATTGGACACCTTTGGTAATTAACATAGTTTTTTATGTACCTTGGATTGTTTAATTATTAGGAAGGCAGATTTGTTAGAGTAGATAGCTATATTCCCCAGATGTGCCAGCAGCTGCTTTGCTCTTGACTTTCTCATTGGTAAATGTGTCACTTACATATGAGAAGAGCTTTGCATACTGGAAAAGGGAAGCTGATTTCCTACCCCACACAGCTCATCCTAAAGGCAGCAGTCCCAGGGGTCCCCTCTGTATAAGGAACTTTTTTTTTTTTTAATTGAGTGGTGTTTTTGTTTTTGTTTTTTGAGACAGAGTCTTGCTCTGTCACCCAGGCTGAAGTGCAGTGGCCCCATCTCGGTGCACTGCAACCTCCGTCTCCCGGGTTCAAGCGATTTCCCGCCTCCCTCCTGATGAGCTGGGACTACAGGCAGGTGCCACCATGCCTGGGTAATTTTTTTTTTTTTTGTATTTTTAGTAGAGAGGGGTTCTGCCACATTGGCAAGACTGGTCTCAAACTCCTGACCTCAGATGATCTGTCCCCCTCAGCCTCCCAAAGTGCTTGGATTACAGGTGTGAGCCACCACACTAGGCCTAGGAACTATCTTTTAACATGCACACTTTTCAAGAACTCCCGCCAATGGGGGCTCTGTGAACCAATCACAGCCTCCCGTTTAAAGAGCTCTAGATGCAAGATACACACAAGAGGCAGAGACGGGGAGAGGCTGATGCAGGAGCACCAGTCCACAATTAGAATAGTCCTAGCGGGTGGAAAGTGGCATCTCAGGGTGGCTTTGATTTGCATTTACCCTATGACTAATGATGTTGAGCATCTTTTCATGTGCTTATTGGCCATTTGACTATGTTTTCCCAAGAAATGTCTATTCAAATCCTTTGCCCAGGTTTAATATTCATCCTTTTACTGTTGCATTATAAAATTCTTTATTTATTCTGGATACTAGACTCTTAGCAGATATATGCCTTGCAAATATTTTCTCCCTTTCTGAGGGTTTTCATATGCTTAAGAGTGTCCACTGAAGTTCAAACTATTTGTATGCTAGATTTCCCAAACACTGATTGTCTTGCTCAAAGATGATCATAGCTGCACATGGTGGCTCATTCCTATAATCCCAACACTTTGGGAGGCTGAAGCAGGCAGATTGCTTGAGCCCAGGAGTTCAAGATAGCCTGGGCAACCTGGAAAAACCCTGTCTCTACAAAAAAAATTCAAACATTAGCTGAGTGTGGTAGTGTGTGCCTGTGGTCCCAGCTACTTGGGTGGGAGCTAAGGTGGGAGGATCACCTGTGTCTTGGAAGGTCAAGGCTGCAGTGAGCTGTGATCTCTCCAACCTGGGTGACAAACTGAGACTCTGTCTCAAACAAACAAACAAAAAAGATCATAAAATGCAACATCTGCAGCCATAAAAAGGAAACAGATCATGTGTTTTGTCGGAACATGGATAGAGCTGGAGGCTATTATCCTCAGCAAACTAACATAGGAACAGAAAACCAAATACAACATGTTCTCTCTTATAAGTGGGAGCTAAATGATGAGAACTTAGGAATACAAAGAAGGTAAGAGACACTGGATTTACTGGAGGGTGGAGGCTAGGAGGCAGGAGAGGAGCAGAAAAGAAAACAAATTCCTGGGTGATTAAATAATCTGTACAAGAAACCCCTGTGACATCAGTTTACCTATATAACAAACCTTCTCATGCACCTCTGAACCTAAAAGTTTAAATAGATAAATAAATAAATGCAACATCTTTCTAAGTGGCCTGAATGCTTCTCAGCTGGCTGGAATCACCAGCTCACATGGAGACAATCCTAGGGGGCAGCTCGTTAGGGCGGAGGGTCTCCTTGGGCAGGAGCCCTCTTTGCTGCCACAGGTGGCTGTATACACGGCAGTACACCCTTCCCCCACCCCCAGTGCTGGGGTTGGGTGGGAAACTGAGGATGCAGCTTACCTTTGGTATCACACTGGTGGGAAGAGATCCACAATCCTGTCTGAGCCCTGTTGTTCTCTACATTACAATAATCACCTCTTATCAGGATCTAAACTTTCTTGGCTCTTCCCGTTAGAAAACTGTCTGTTTAAAAAAAAAAAAAAAAGGCCGGGCGCAGTGGCTCACACCTGTAATCCCAGCACTTTGGGAGGCCGAGGCTTGTGGATCACTTGAGGTCAGGAGTTCGAGACCAGCCTGGCCAACATAGTGAAACCCCATGTCAAAAAAAAAAAAAAAAAAGAAAAGAAAACCGTCTGTTTTAACTTAAATTTAAAACTTAACTCTAGCATATAAAGTTTTAACTTTCTGTAAGTGCCACCACCTGAGCTTTAATTTAGTAGCAGAAACAATTTTCAAATACCCCAGTAGACAGAGAAATGAAAGACAACTGGATTTACCCTGACATTAGATGATATCATCAATCGCTCTTGCCAGGAGGGCATGGCCAGCTCGAACTTACACTCAAGGCGTGGCTCCGCAGGTGCTCCTGTCGCGTGAACCTCTTGCCGCAGGTCTCACAGGGGTAGGGCCGCTCGCCCGTGTGTGAACGGATGTGCCGCTTGAGGATGCCCTTCTGTTTGGCAGTATAAGGGCAGAAAGGACACTTGTGGAGCTTGATGGGGACCACCAACACATCACCTGCGGAACCAAATGCTTTCATTTAGCTATGTTGTACGCAGTGACAACCCTGGCTACCAGCCAGTGGATGGGATCCACAGCTGGGGAATTCTACCAGCCCAGATGGAGGAGGAGGACACCCACTCCACCAACAGCCAACAGCAAGATGTCGCCTGCAATTCCAACTCAGTCTGGCTCCCATTAAGCCCCAGGGCAGAGTACAGTGAACTTCTTCTAAGGTCAGGAATGCCATAAGGCACCAGCTTCCACACTTCTCTGTGACTCACAGTTAGAAACTCAGCTCACATGACAACCTCAGAACACACGTGCCTTATGAGGATAACTGGAAGTTTCTCAAAACAATACTCACCCTGATAGTATTCTATTCGGTTTCATTTTAAGACTGCTGGGTGAAACTCTGTTATGGACTGATTTGTGTCCCACTAAAATTCATACCTTGAAGTCTGTGTTTGGAGATAAAGCCCTTAAGAAGGTAATTAAGGTTAAATGAGTTTATAATGATTAACTAACGTTAGGACTGGTTTCCTTATAAGAAGAGACACCAGAGATTGACTGATCTCTGTCTCCTCCTCTCTGCATTCCCCCCCGCCATTCCTCTCATCCCCAACCCTAGCACACACACAGAGGAAAGCCTATGTGAGGACACAGTGGGAAGGCTGCCATCTGCAATTCAGGAAGACAGATCTCACCAGAAGCCAACTCTGCTGACATCCTGATCTCGGACTTTGGCCTCTAGAACTATGAGGCTACATTTCTGCTGTTTAAGCTTCCCAGTCTGGGGCACTCTGTTGTGGCAGCCTGAGCTGACTGATACAACCCTCTGAATTGATCTCACTACCTTCAGAACTTGGAAAACTCAGTTATGATGGATCAGATTTCTAGACCAGAATTCATGCTTCTTGGACGGTAGTTCCTAAGATTGTTTTCCAGGCCTACATAGAAGAGGCTTGCTATGATACAGACCCTAAATTGTTGTTTGGAATTTATATTAACTGTACATATCTGAAATCATCAAATATCCAGGAATTCACTTAAATCCTTTTCTAATTTATTACCTCACCTTGCTCATATAACCATTAAGGTGAGAGTATGATTATCGCTCACATGTATAGAAACTGTTCCGCTCAAGTTCTGTAAGTTACACTTATTGCTATGGTCATCCCTTGGTATCAACTGGGAATTGGTTCCAGTATGCTCCTTGGATACCAAAATCCAACAATGCTTAAGTCCCAAAGTCAGTCCTGCGGATCCTGTGAATACTGTATTTTCCCATGCATGGTTAGTTGAATTCACAAATGCAGAAGCTATGGACACAGAGGGCCAACTATATTCCAAGATTTGTTCTTTATTTTATTTATTGAGACGGCATCTCACTCTGTTGCCCAGGCTGGAGTGTAGTAACACAATCTCGGCTTACTGCAACCTCTACCTCCTGGATTCAAGTGATTCTCCTGCCTCAGCCTCCGGGGTAGCTGGGATTGCAGGCACCCGCCACCACACTCAGCTAATTTTTGTATTTTTAATAGAGGTGGGGTTTCACCATGTTGGCCAGGCTGGTCTCAAACTCCTGACTTCAGGTGATCTGCCCACCTCAGCCTCCCAAAGTGCTGGGATTACAGGCGTGAGCCACCATGCCCAGCCTGAGATTTATTCTCTCCATGCTCCGTGAGATTTACAGACTTTGGTTATATCATATCGTATCACCCATGAAGCACAAGTGACTCAAGCTTTCCAAGCACTGGTCAAGTCCTGGCCCTAGTACTGATCAGCCGTGTGACCCTGGACATCTCACTTAGCTTCTCTGTGCCTTACTTTCCTCATCTGTAAAACAGGTATGATAACAGTTCCCACCTCAAAAGATTGTGGTAAGAATGAAATAAAGTAACACATAAAGCAAAGCACGTGGCACATAATGAACACTTGCAAGTGTCAACATTTGCACTGTCATTTCCTCAGAATTTCTTTTCACCAGGTAAGCAGTCCAGGCTCTTGTGGTCTTTGTCAACACCGGAGTAACTCTTTTTATCTGGGGCTGGCTTGGGATACCTAACTGGCTCTGTTTTTCCTGAGGTGCTATAAAAAGTATGGCACACCGAATTGAATGTGAGAATCCAGCATCCTTTACATAAAGGTGGAAACTGTCTTTGGTTTCTAGTTCCTATCCTAATAGTCCCTAACATTTTGCATAATCTACAGTGACTCTAAAATCTGTTTCCCAGGATAAAAACAGCAGCTCAAAGCTCATCACTGCTCACATATGTGGGATTGTTAAATCTCTCACTGCTCACACTGATCCTGAGGTACAAGTAAAACAGGAATGATTATCTGTTTTGTTTTGGTTTGTTTTGTTTTCCTGAGATGGAGTCTTATTCTGTCACCCAAGTTGGAGTGCAGTGGCACGATCTCAGCTCACTGCAACCTCCGCCTCCTGGGTTCAAGTGATTCTCCTGCCTCAGCCTTTGGAGAAGCTGGGATTACAGGTGCGCACCACTGCACCTGGCTAATTTTTTTATTTTTAGTAGAGACAGTTTCACCATGTTGGTCAGGCTTGTTTTGACACAGAATCTCCCTCTGTTAGCTGGGCAGGAGTGCAGTGGCATGATCATGGCTCACTGCAGCCTCTACCTCCCAGGTTCAGGTGATCCTCCCACCTCAGCTCCCCGAGTAGCTGGGATTATAGGCATGTGCCACCACACGCAGCTGATTTTTTTTTTTTTTTTGAGATGGAGTTTCACTTTTGTTGCACAGGCTGGAGTGCAATGGCACAATCTCAGCTCACTGCAACCTCTACATCCCAGGTTCAAGTGAATCTCCTGTGTCAGCCTCCCAAGTAGCTGGGATTACAGGCATGTACCACCATGCCCAGCTACTTTTGTATTTTTAGTAGAGACAGGAGCTTCACGATGTTGGTCAGGCTGGTCTCGAACTCTTAACCCCAGGTGATCCACCAGTCTTGGCCTCCCAAAGTGTTGGGATCTCAGGTGTGAGCCACAGTGCCCGGCCATGAATGACAACCTGTTTCCTAGGATCAAAGCAGCAGCTCATAGCTCATCACCCTGCTCACTCCTCTGGCATTGTAGAAACTCCTTGTTATTTACCTCCATCACCTTGGCTTTGTGCCACACACTTCTTCCTGATTACCTACAAAAACATAAAGTAAATGGGTCCAGCGTAAGTCCTTGGAAAAAATAACTGTTAACTATTTCTCCATCAGAAAAGTATGGATTGTCTCACTTTCTTCCTCTTTCCTGATCTCACTTCCCCAATCGACAGCTCACCTGAATCCTCTTACATGCCAGGCATTGTAAGACACCTGTTTCCTCCCTCAAGAAGTTAAGTTCAGCAGGAAAGACATGTAAACATATTCATACAATATGATGCACACATGCAAAGTTCAAAGTGATAAAGAAATATAAATTAAAAAGTGATCACTTTCCCTACGAGTTAAGAGATGATTTCACAGAAAAGGTTAACTTTGAGCAAGGTTTTAAAAGATGAACAGGAGTTCACTGGGAGTTCAAGACAGAGAAAGGTATCTCAGGCAGAAGAAGAACACATGCTTAGACTTAGAGGTAAATGAGAATACGAAGTACAAAGTGGGGGTTAGGAATTAGAACAAGGAAGGGACAAGAACTAGATTGTGAGGTTGGGCACAGTGGCTCATACCTGTAATCCCAGCACTTTGGGAGGCTGAGGCATGTGGATCACAAGGTTAGGAGTTCAAGACCAGCCTGGCCATCATGGTGAAACCCCGTCTCTACTAAAAATACAAAAATTAGCCAGGCATAGTGGTGTGTGCCTGTAATCCCAGCTACTCAGGAGGCTGAGGCAGGAGAATTGCTTGAACCAGGAACCAGGAGGTGGAGGTTGCAGAGAGCAGAGATTGCGCCACTGCACTCCAGCCTGGGGAACAGAGACTCTGTTTCGGGGGAAAAAAAAAAAAAAAGAACTAGATTGTGATGGTCACATTCATTCATTTATTCAGCAAATTTATACTGTGCACTATGTGTCAGGCTCTGTTCTAGGGTCCTGGGGATACAACAGTGAACAGAACAGACAAAAGTCCCTGCACCTCATGGAGCTAACATGCTAAGAAATTTGGACTTTACCTGTAAGCCGCTAGGATTTTTTTTTATTTTTGAGATTGAGTCTCGTTCTGTTGCCCAGGCTGGAGTGCAGTGGCATGATCTCAGCTCACTGCAACCTCTACTTCCTGGGTTCAAGTGATTCTCCTGCCTCAGCCTCCTGAGTAGCTGGGACCATAGGCCTGAACCACCGCTCCTGGTCAGCTAGGATTTTAAGCAAGGAAGGTACATGGCCAAATTTTCATAGCCAGATTTAATTTTTAAAAGATCCCTCTAGGCACAATTCAGGAAAATAACAGACATTGCCAGGGGCCAGGGCAGCTGCCTTGCTACAGCACCTTGTAGCAAGAAGCCTGACTTTCCAGACCGTTAAGGAGAGGACTTGAATATGAGTGGCACAGGGCCAAATGCCTATTTCATGATACTTCTTGTGTTTACACGCAGAGGGGTTCAAAGAAAAAATCATTGCACTGAAATCCTCTATTATGTTGCTTTCACCGTTTGTTTAATGAACAAAATGAAGCCACCCCAGGTTTCTGGTTTTAGCTGGGCCACTTAACTTACTACTGCATTCTTATAAACTCAGTAAACCCCTCTGGGTCTCAGTTTCTCTGTATTTCCTCTGTCAAACACATAAGGCATCATGAGAGTCTCAAGGATGTGAAAGGGTGGTCACAGTCTGTGAAATGCCATTATACACGTGGCAATGAAAATTTCAACAAGTTCCCATGGTGTGTTCATGGAAGCAGCCACTATCTTCCCAATGCTGGTGAAGCCAGTGTTTCTGAGAACCAGAAATAGCATTTTTCAAGTGTTTCTTTTTTTCTTTCTTCTTCTTTTTTTAAAGACAAAGTCTCATTTTGTCATCCAGGCTGGAATGCAGTGGCATGATCACAGCTCACTGCAGCTTCGACCTCTCAGGCTCAGGTTGATGCTCCCACCTCAGCCTCCCAACTAGCTAGGACTATGGGCGCATGCCATGATGCCTGGCTAATTTTTAATTTTTTTTTTTTTTTTTGTATAGATGGGGTTTTGCCATGTTGCCCAGGCTGTTCTCAAACTCCCGGGCTCAAGTGATCCTCCCACCTTGGCCTCTCAAAGAGCTACGATAATAGGTGTGAGCCACTGCACCTGGCCATTTTCAAGTTTTTCAGTTCTATTTTTTTTTTCTTTTTTCTTTTATTTTTTTTCTTAAAGTTTTTTGAAGGGAAATCGAACCCCGGTCTCCCGCGTGACAGGCAGGGATACTCACCACTATACTAACGAGGATCAAGTCTAGTTTTAATCAGACATACTGAGTGCTCTTGCTTTTAAAAAATGAAATTTGAGGCCGGGCATGGTGGCTCATGCCTCTAATCCTAGCACTTTGGGAGGCTGAGGCAGGAGGATCACCTGAAGTCAGGAGTTTGAGATCAGCCTGGCCAAAATGGTGAAACCCCGTATCTACTAAAAATACAAAAATTAGCCAACATGGTGGCACATGCCTGTAATCCCAGCTACTCGGGAGGCTAAGGCAGGAGATTCACTTGAACCCAGGTGGCTGTGGTTGCAGTGAGCCGAGATTGCACCATTTCACTCCAGCCTAGGCAACAGAGTGAGACCCTGTCTCAAAAAAAAAAAGAAATTAGAAAGTTTCAAGACAGGCCAGGTGCAGTGGCTCATACCTGTAATCCCAGCACTTTGAGAGGCTGAGGTGGGACGCTCTCTTGAGCCCAGGAGTTTGAGACCAACCTGAGCAACATAGGGAGATCTCATCTCTATTATAAATTAAACATACAAAAAATTAGTTGGGTGTGATGGTGCATGCCTGTAGTCCCAGCTACTTGGGATGCTGAAGTGGGAGGATCACCTGAGCTCCGGAGGTCGAGGCTACGGTGAGTTGTGATTGTGCACTGCACTCTAGCCTGGGCAACAGGAGACCCTGTCCCAAAAAAAGAAAAGTCGTGAGACTGCCATTCAGAAATGAATAAAAATAGCTGATCTTCCTTTATTTAAAAGATTTTTACTTCAACCAGAGAATCAGAAGCTTAAAAAAAAAAAAAAAAGGGAAAAGACTTTCACTACTCAATATTTCACTACTAGACTGCAATTCATTAATTTCTTGGCTTGAGGTTCTATTTTTTTGTTTGTTTTTCTTTTGTTTTTTGCTTTGAGAGGGAGTCTCGCTCTGTCACCCAGGCTGGAGTGTGGTAGCCTGATCTTGGCTCACTGCAACAACTACCTCCTAGGTTCAAGCTATTCTCCTGCCTCAGCCTCCTGAGTAACTGGGATTACAGGCCCATGCCACTGCGTCTGGCCTTGGCTTGAGGTTCTGGAAGCCACGTTTCATCAGTAAGGTGGGAGTCAAGTTTATTTTTGCCTCCTACAAGACACCTTGCAACACAATTACCTCACCTGTTAAGAGGAGTTAACCGTGTTGACTCGACTCTCAGAATTGTTAAAGGAAACAACCAGGTTCTCTTAAAATGCAAAAGCCTACCAAAGCGTATAAAAAAATTAGCTCACATGAAGCCAAACACCAGCTCTAAATAGTCTCAAGTTGGCTGGGCACAGTGGCTCATGCCTGTAATCCCAGCACTTTAGGAGACCAAGGCAGGTGGATCACTTGAGGTCAGGAAGTCGATAGGAGCCTGGCCAACATGGTGAAAGCCTGTCTCTACTGAAAATACAAAAATTAGCTGGGCATGGTGGCATGCGCCTATGGCAATCCCAGCTACCTGGGAGGCTGAGGCACAAGAATCACTTGAACCTGGGAGGCAGAGGTTGCAGTGAGCCATGATTGCACCACAGCACTTCAGCCTGGGTGACAGAGCGAGACCCTGTCTCAATAAATAAATACATAAATAAAATAGTCTTGGCTGGGCATGGTGGCTCACACCTGTAATCCAAGCAGTTTGGAGGCCAAAGCAGGTGAATCACCCGAGGTCGGGAGTTCAAGACCAGCCTGACCAACATGGTGAAACCCCATCTTTATTAAAAAAAATTTAAAAACAAGAAAAAAGAAAATAGTCTCAAGTAGATGGCATCATCAAGCACACCAGGCTGAGTGCCTACTCTATGTCAAGCACTCTGGCTGACACAGAGCAGTATAAATCTCTAGAGCGTATATCTCTGGATGTCACTTCAATCACATTTTCCCCACACAAATACAACTTCCCAGAATAGAGGAAATCTAAGATGATATGTGAGAAAAAGTTCTGAAAACTCTCTAATTTGATCCCCACAATAAACCTGTGTGAGAGAGAGGTAGGGCAGAGATGATTATCCCCATTTTATAGATGACAAAACAGACTCAAAGAGATTCAATGATTTAACCAAGGTCCCACTGCTGGTTAGTGGAAGAGAGTGGGTTCCTCCCATGTCTCCAAACTGCCCCCAACACGCTTACAGTCTAGTTGTAGAGGTAAAACACAAACATACATGAAGAAACAATGCCCTGCAAATATAGGTGCTCAATTAATGCATATTGGTGGTGGTGGTGGTGGCAATGGTGACTGATGATGATGGTAATGATGATGATGGTACTGGTGATGGTAGTGATGGTGATGGTACTGGTGATGATGGTATTGGTAATGATGGTAGTGATGATAATACTGATGATGATGGTACTGGTGATGATGACAGTGATGATGATGGTACTGGTGATGATGGTAGTGATAATAGTACTGGTGATGATGACAGTGATGATGATGGTAGTGATGATGGTATTGGTAATGATGGTAGTGATGATAATACTGGTGATGATGGTACTGGTGATGATGACAGTGATGATGATGGTACTGGTGATAATGATAGTGATGATGAGGGGACCAGTGATGATGGTACTGCTGATGATGATACTAGTGATGATAGTGATGATGATGATAATGAGGATGATGGTACTGGTGATGATGGTAGTGATAATAGTACTGGTGATGATGACAGTGATGATGATGGTAGTGATGATGGTACTGGTGATGATGGTAATGATGATGATGGTACTGGTGATGATGGTAGTGATGATAGTGGTACTGATGATGATGGTACTAGTGATACTTGTAATGATTATGGTACTGGTAATGATGGTACTGATGATGTTGGTAGTGACGATGATGGTGATAATATCACGATGACAGGAGAATACAAGGAACAGGAAGTATGTACTAAATGACTGGCAGGGCTGATGAATGCTAAGGGGACTCACCTGAGTCCTCTCCATACCAGTCAGTCTGGACATCCATCATGGAACTCATGGCTACTCCTGCACTTTCTGGTCTTCCCTCCAAACTCCGAGAAAAGTGATGGTCTGCATCATCTTTGCTTGGGGCAGCGCTGTTGCGCAACAGCGCCTCCAGGAACTGCTTCATGTGGTAGTTGCTGTAAGCCAAGTCAACTGCCTGGCCGCTGGGCAAGGCCTCCTCCACGTGAGCCAGGCTCAGTGGGGCAGCATACTGCTGCAGCTGTTCACCAACATCCACCTCCACTTCATCAGCATCAAATTCCACCTTGGGCTCTATCTGGTTGGGTGGAGTAGAGAGGTCACTGTCAGCCGAGCCACAGCCAAGGCTGTCTTTCACCACCAGTTCCAAGGGGTGGCAGTCTCCACAGTCACCGCAAGGGGACTCTCTCAGGCAGTCTACACGCTTTTCTCCTTTGGCTGGAGAGGAGACCAAGCTCTTGGTACCACAGGAGGTCCCCTCTCGGCATGTACTGGGGCTTCCACTGTCAACCTGATGAGCCGCCGCTGCAGCCGCTGCTGCAGCCGCCGCCGCTGCCGCTGCCACCGCTGCAGCCACAGCAGCCTCCTTCTCCATCTTTCGGCAAATGTCGAGGGATGACCTGATATATGTCTTGCAGAAGTTCACCACATCATTCATCTGCAGGTAGCTGGCAGCTGACATCACTTCAATCACATTCTCCCCACACAAATCCAACTTCCCAGAATAGAGGAAATCTAAGATGGTGGAGAAGGCATCAGAGGTGACAATGTCCAAGGAGGCAGTGCTATGCCGTCCGCTGTCCTGGATATAGTGAATGAGCAGGGCTCGGAAGTAGCCACTGTTAGCAAATAAAATGTTCCTGTGGGCCTTGAAGATCCGCCCTTCCACAATGATGCTGCAGTCACAGAAAAAGTCCCTCTTTCTCTGTTCATTCAGCTCCCCCAAAAGCTTGGCATAATAAGATTGCATCTCCATTGCTCCACCAGCTGCTGCTGCTCCGGAGTAAACCTGTATCTCTGCCAAGATTTTTCTTAAGTTAAATCACAAGTCCCAACCTTTACAAATAAGATTTCTTTTTAAATTTTTAAACAATTTTTCCAAAACCAGTGGTCCAATAGTGTCTTCAGGATATGGGCTTCCCAGCACTTTGGGAGGACAAGGCAGGTGGATCACTTGAAGTGAGGAGTTTGAGACCAGCCTGGCCAACATGGTGAAACCCCTTCTCTGCTAAAAATACAAAAATTAGGCTGGGTGCGGTGGCTCACGCCTGTAATCCCAGCACTTTGAGAGGCCGAGGCGGGTGGATCACGAGGTCAAGAGATCGAGACCATCCTGGTCAACATGGTGAAACCCCGTCTCTACTAAAACTACAAAAAATTAGCTGGGCATGGTGGCGCGTGCCTGTAATCCCAGCTACTCAGAAGGCTGAGGCAGGAGAATTGCCTGAACCCAGGAGGCGGAGGTTGCGGCGAGCTGAGATCGCGCCATTGCACTCCAGCCTGGGAAAAAAGAGCGAAACCCCGACTTAACAAAAAAAAAAAAAAAAAAATTAGCCAGGCCTGTAATCCCAAGTACTAGGAAGGCTGAGGTGGGAAAATTGCTTGAAGCCAGGAGGTGGAGGCTGCAGTGAACCAAGATCGCACCACTGCACTCCAGCCTGGGTGACAGAGTGAGATTCTGTCTCAAAAATAATAATAATTGTAATAATAATAATGATAATAATGGCTGCTTTGGTTCTAACAAAAATCAGAGGTTATCAACTGAGTTAATTTATGAAAAACAACCAAAAATAACTATAGCTAACTGCATGTGAGCACAGTGCTGTTTTACATGAATTCTTTCAATGAATTTTTATAAAAACCTTATAAGTAAATATTTATATTGTTTCCCTTGTGCTGATAAGGAAATTGAGGGTAGGAGATGATCTAGCTGTAACAGATCCAGGACTCAAAATCAGGTCTATTAGCCTCCAGAGCCAATGCTCGAATTTACTATATTCTACTTTCTTCAAGGTTCAAAATATAGAATAGAAAATATCCACATCTAAGAATTATAGTTGAGGCCGGGCATGGTGGCTCACACCTGTAATCTTAGCACTTTGGGAGGCCAAGACAGGCGAATCAACCGAGGTCAGGAGTTTGAGACCAGCCCGGCCAACATGGTAAAACCTTGTCTCTACTAAAAATACAAAAATTAGCTGGGCGTGGTGGCAGGCGCCTGTAGTCCCAGCTACTCAGGAGGCTGAGGTAGGAAAACTGCTTGATCTTGGGAGGCGGAGGTTGCAGTGAGCTCAGATTGCACCACTGCACTCCAGCCTGGGCGACCAAGAGAAGATTGTGTCTCAAAAATAAAAAATAAAAAAAAGAAGTAGTTGAGTCTTTAGTGTAGCAATCTGAAGCTGGTTTTCTTTTTCTTTTTTTAAAGACGGGGTTTCACCATGTTGGTCAGGCCAGTCTTGAACTCCTGACCTCAGCTGATCCACCCGCCTTGGCCTCCAAAGTGCTTGGATTACAGGCGTGAGCCACCGCATCCGGTCGAAACTGGTTTTCTTTCTTAGAGACAGGGTCTTGGTCTGCTCCCCAAGCTGGAGTGCAAATGGTATAACCATAGCTCACTACAGCCTCAAACTTCTGGGCTCAAGCAACCCTCCTGCTTCAGCCTCCCAAGATCTAGGACTAGAGGTGCATGCCACTGTGTCTGGCCAATTAAAAAAAAAATTATTTTGTAAGATGGCAGTCATGCTATGTTGCCCAGGCTGGTCTCAAGCTCTGTGCCTCAAGCCTGCCTCCACCTCCCAAAGTCCTGAGATTACAAGCAGAAGCTACCACACCGAGTCTCCAGTGTCCCAATCCAGAGCTTTGAGTGCAATGGCGTGATCTCAGCTCACTGCAACCTCCGCCTCCTGGGCTCAAGCGATTCTCCTGCCTCAGCCTCCCGAGCAGCTGGGATTACAGGTGCATGCCACCATGTCCGGCTAATTTTTTGTATTTTAGTAGAGACGGGGTTTCACCATGTTGCCCAGGCTGATCACAAATGAGACTGGTCTCCTTTTATCATCATTACACCGAAGTATTTGGTGGATTCTTGGGCTAGCCAGCATGCATTCCCCATTCTTTTGGTTCTAGTGCCCTTTTTGGCTTTGATGGAAGCATCCTTCCCCCATTATTGGCCAATATGCTTTGCATAAAGCTGGTGCCATCCCCAAGCACCATGTATGTAAACTATAATGTAGGCTAATGCAATTAACGCATCCTACCCTCTGACCACAGTGATTGGCTCGGAGATGGCCATGTGGCTTTCAGAGCCAATGAAAAGCAATAAAACATTTGCTGGAACTTCCAAAAAAGAGCACTCTCTGCTCTGTGGGATGCAGGATGTGAAGGATGCTGCTGCTACACCACCAGGGAAACCAGCCTAACAAAGATGACTGCCCAGCTCAGGCTGATGGAGCCTGGGGACAACATCGAAGCCCCAACTCAAGCAGTGCCAGAAGCCAATTAAGTTCCTTTTCGCTTTAGCTGGTCTGAGTTGGGTTTTCTTTTTTTAATACTATTATTATTATTTTTTGAGATGGAGGATGGGGTCTCACTCTGGTACCCAGGCTGGCGTGCAGTGGTGTGATCTTGGCCCACTGCAACCTCCATCTCCCTGGTTCAAGCAATCCTCCTACCTCAGCCTCCCAAGTAGCTGGGACTACAGGTACCCACCACCAAGCCAGGCTAATTTTTTTGTATTTTTGGTAGAGACAGGGTTTTGCCATGTTGCCCAGGCTGGTCTTGAACTCCTGGCCTCAAGTGATCTGCCTGCCTTGGCCTCTCAATCTCAAAGTGCTGGGATTACAGATGTGAGCCACCACGATTGGCCTCTGAGTTGGGTTTTCCATTTCATGCAACTGAGAGACTCCTAACTGATTGATTCCACTACCCTTGGTTAACTCCTGCTTATGATTTATGTCCTGGTCCTTCTCTGTCGGCGAACTACAAGCCCTTTGAAAGCATGAGCCATGTCTAACTCAATTTGATACTTACAGTATCTGGCAGAGTGCTTTGGACAAAATAGATTTTTTTTTTTTTAATTCAGTCTCCATAAAGACTGTCAAAAATTGCCAATGCCGACTATATGTCAAGTCGTCATCGCGGGGTATTGGGAAAATTTTTCAATTAGCAATAATCGCGCCTCAGATAAACCTCATTGGCTATGATACTGTCACTGCGCAAAGCTACAAAATAGATTTGTTAAGCAAAAAAAGGAATACTCCTTTCTTTTTTTCTTTTTTTTTGAGACAGAGTCTCACTCTGTCACCAGGTGCCAGGCTGGAGTGCAGTGGTGCGATTTCGGCTCACTGCAACCTCTGCCTCCCGGGTTCAAGTAGCTCTTCTGCCTCAGCCTCCCTAGGCTGGGACTACAGGCGCGCACCACCACGCCCAGCTAATTTTTGTATTTTAGTGGAGACGGGGTTTCACTATGTTGCCCAGGATGGTCTCGATCTATTGACCTCGTGATCAACCCGCCTCTGCCTCCCAAAGTGCTGGGATTATAGGCGTGAGCCGAGGAATACTCCTTTCTTAACTGCTTAGTAGATAAGCTATAAACCAAGTTTAAAATCCACTTAGGGTGGGCAGGTGGCTCACACCTGTAATCCCAGCACTTTGGAAGGCCGAGGTAGGCAGATCATCTGAGGTCAGGAGTTCAAGACCAGTGTGGCCAACATGGCAAAACCTCATCTCTACTAAAAATACAAAAATTAGCCGGGTGTGGTGGCAGGTGCCTGTAATCTCAGCTACTTGGGAGGCTGAGGCATGAGAATCACTTGACCCCAGGAGGCACAGGTTGCAGTGAGCTGAGGTCGCACCACTGCACTCCAGCCTAGGTATACAGCGAGACTCTGTCTCCAAAACAAATAAATAAATGGATAAAATCCACTTAGTAGTGAGGAGGACAGAGATACTGACCTGTTCCTCAAACCCTCCCCTCCCCATCACAAAAACCACATAACCATCCATCAACTATTACCCCTTTACTTACTGACCCATTGAGCTTAGAAAGGTTCCTATAGCCAAGTGCATCCCCTCTACTGGAATCACAAAAGGCTTACCTACAGCTGAAACCACTGCTAACAGCTCTTTTTTTTTTTTTTTTTTTTGAGACGGAGTTTCACTCTTGCTACTCAGGCTGGAGTGCAATGGCGCGATCTCGGCTCACCGCAACGTCCGTCTCCTGGGTTCAGGCAATTCTCCTGCCTCAGCCTCCTGAGT